TAGCATTCAGTCCTCAATGGAATATGTCAAAACTTTTACTTAGAGGGGGAGGAAAAAAAAAAGGATCAAAATTTCTCCAAGTTCCTGTAAAACTCACCTATTTTCATGAGAGCTTAGCCTTAGGAGTTCAGCATTAACTGCTGCCATGTAAGTTAAAGAGCTATCCACCATCATTAGCAGCAGTCCTTAAAACTGGGAACAGATCACCAGCCCTGGAGAAGAGTCTACCCCAGTACAGCTCTCCTAATTCCTACAGTACCAGGGAGAATTTGCCTTGCAGGTATTCCTAGAAAATGGATCAGAAAATAGGACTCTGGAACCCTACAGCTAAACACATAAGTGAAGCAAAAGTCAGAGTTCAGTTATTGCTTCATCTGACTCCCTAAAGGGGGCATCATCTAGGTAAGAAGAGCCTGGCCCTGTGCCACTGCTCCTTGCTTTTCAAGGGATCAAAGCACAGCATTTGTTGGTCTGGCAGCAGATTGACAAAAACACAGCTCAAGTGTCACTGAGAACTGTGAGCAAAGTGTAAGGAGGAATTTTTTACTTTTACTTTTCTGAGATTTTATCCAGCTTTTGCAGAGAAGCAATGTTAGCAGGATAATGGCAAAAATTATTCTCCGAGGTAAATACTTCTCAGAAAATTCCCTGGAAAGAGACATCTGCTTCTTAAGAACCCAGATACATCCTGTGTAAAAGAAAAAAAGCTATACAAAATAACATACAGCCCCATCGCAACTCCGTAACAGATGACATAAGTAATTGACAAATAAAGTGATACACGTGCACATGTACGTATCTGATGTAAATACATAGGAAATCCATCAGCAAGTACAACAGCTAGAAACAAAAAATTAAATACATTCTGAATAACATTTTCAATTGAATACTTACCTCAAGAGAGCCCTATTACTTAGATCAACAATAACCAAGTTTGTTGAAAAAGTGCACACACACTAGAAAGTTTTGTTTTCCCCATCACCTTTGATTTGGCTGCCAAACACACAGCTGACTTATATCATAAACTCACTAGCATTTAAAGGAGAAGAGTAAGAGAAACATTATGAAACCACACAAGCAAGCAAGAAAGAGAGAACCTCATTTACCTAGCTTTACCACCTCCAGCTTCTACCATAAGACACAACTTCTGTACCTTTACAACACTGCAGTTGTAATAAGTCTTCACAGCTTAACCATATGAAGAAGTTGCTTAAATTTTTCAACTACTGTCATATTCTAGGAAATCTCTTCTTAGACTTGAGACCAATTTTCTCCCAAGAAACAGTCAAATATGCTTTGCAGTCCTTATCACACACTAGCAACAGTTTGGTCAAGCTACATTTCCTCCAGCAGATAAGCCTGTCACAGAGACATAAAATTGCACATTATCTCCAGTAGATGTAAAAAAAGCATCCTCATCTGTAGTTATGTATACTAATACATGTAAAACAGTAATACTTCTGGCTTTTATTTCAAAGCAGCATTGTACATAGAATTTACTGTGTTTGGAAAGAAGCACAGCACAGATTAAAATATTTTGCTAACACTAAGTAAATACTTTATTAAAGTAATTTATAGCTAGCCTGAATTTGTGGTTTTGTTTAATATTAATTGAAAGAGACTTTAGGAATTGACTAAAGCAAGAACCTGCTAATTACAGTGCCTGTAATAAATATAAGCAACAGTGTTTTGAGACAATAATCTATAATTGCATATATTGTAAAAATTTTTCAGACTACCAAAGTCGAACTAATTAAGATTCAGTGATTATCCACCCTGGGCTGGGATACACCAGTTACAGGTGGGATTGCAAACCAACTTCCTTAAATTTTGGCTGAAAATCAAAGTGAAGTCAAAGCCCAACACATAGCAAGAGACTTACAGGATCAATCTAAAGGTACTCTAGTCCTAAACTACTAACATCTCACCACACTGTGCCTTCTCCAGCAGTAACAAACATGCAGCAAATTTAATACCAACAGGTTGGGAAAAGGGTTTCTCATCTTGGAAGAGTTTGTCAAACTACTTTTTTTTTTTTTTTAAAGTTACATTAGCATAGTAAGAGAGGAAGGAAAAAATGTTTAATTGTGGAGTATTTCTACTTCAGTTGAATTGCCAGTCAGTAAAGACTGGCAAGTTATTTATCCTCTAAGAACAAAGTTTGGAAAAATAAATAATACACACTAGATGATGTTGTGAAATTAAAGCATCCTGAGAATTTACAATCATTATCGGTAGAATTCCAAATAAAAAATACTTGCAAAGAGACAAGAAGTTTCTATTCATAAATCATGGAAGGCAAGTCTTTGAAAAAAATAATCTGGTTAGCTCTCCTGTAAGATACTGTTTTATTGAAGCAAAGCTTACATATGTTTTGAGCCATTCCTACTTGGAAAAAAAAGGAGTTTTAAAGTAATCTTCTATTCACCCAAAGAAAGTATTACACATGCATACAAATTGATAGCATCTGAAACACTGCCCAATTCAAGTCTTGTAAATGACTTTCTTCCATTACTTAAGGTCACAAATAACTGCACTATTTGTACCACCCTACCTCTCACTCACATTTCTATTGACTGAATCCTAAAATTCTGTAATTTAGAAAAGCCCACATATTATCTGCAAATTTGCAGAAAAGCAGTTTCATATGGGTCAGCTATTTTAAATAGTTAGTTACTTATACATGTTTGGGGATTTTCACGTTGGTTGAAGGAAAACACAGCCTTTAGTCATGTGCTAATTTTCCAACAAAGTTACATCAAGGAGCTTCAGCTAAAAATAGAATATATCTTTGTGTGTTCCTGGTGCCCTGCCAAACTTCAGTAGTGCTTTAGTTTCTAAATAAGATAACCATCAGTGGATAGAAATTTACTTCTTTTGTAGTCTGCATAGTTAGAAGGTAACTTTGAGATGTATTTTAAATAGGTAACTTCAAACTAGGCAAGATTACACAATACAGATCAAAGAAAAATGCTAACCCCTTTATCCTTAAGTATATGCATATTCAACAGAAATAAAAGTATTTTTTCCACATACTACTTAACCCACATTTTGTCTCTTCTTACAAAGAGATCCATTTTCATGTGTTTTTAACTTGATTATTCAAAGATATGCCTGCAATCACTAAATAAGTTCTCTTACCATACAAAAGAATTTAATACAACCTTGCATTGATGAAATTATCAGGATTATATGGCTAAATAATTCCACCAATACCCTTCTGTCAGGCCATTTAAAAGTATAAAGATACAAGAAAGTGTTATTGCCAACAGAGACTACTTGAGGGAGGCATTCATATGGTAAGTGCACACGTATGTACTAATTGACAGATGAAGCTATTGCCATGAGAGCTAGTATCTGTGTTTTCATGTGCTCCTATGACCCATCACTGCCCATTACATGTATCACATCTGACAGCCCACTGTGACAGGCATCTAACTAAAATTTGAAATGAGCAACACAGTGGGAAGAAAACCTGGAAGGTTATCATATAGAAAGCAAAATCTAACCCAACAACATCAGATTTAGACAGGGCGTGGGGGATGTGTGTGTAGAGCATGAATGAGAAAAACCAGGAATTTTACACAAAGTGTAGGTCAGTAGTTGGAAGATTGATAACCTTCTGGAGGTGGACCTAACTTAGACAAACTCCAGTTTGTCCTAGAAAAGGTGAACATGAGCTGCTCCCTACTTCCATTAGCATGTCCTCTTTCACCTACTAAAATTACCAATGGCAAGAAGCAACACAGGATGCCTGTGTGTCACACAATGTTAATCCTTCATGCTTTGTCTATTATGTAAGACAATACCATGTTCACATGGAAGTATGCAAAGCCACTAGGTACTGCATTTTGAGACTATGAAATAAAAGCATGAACAGAGAAACCTTATGTCTGTGCAGGTCTTTATCACACAAAATGCACACAAGTTGTATCACACCTCCCTTCCAATGGGCTGTCATTAAAGGAAATGCTTAATATGTTGAAGATAACTGAAAAGTCAGACCAAACCCATAAGCTAGACAAACAGATCAAGCATACATTCCAAAATTAAAAAAAAAAGCATGTTATACAAGATCAGCTATGTGCCAAAGTTGTACATGTAGATCTAAATCAGTAAAAATGGTGTTAAAACTGTAGACACTTAGACTCAAAGATGACCTAACTACTGGGTTATCCCAAGACAATCAAGCAAACATTCAAGAAACACACACCCAGATTTCTTCAAAAGAGCAGAATTTTTTTTTTTACTTCTGATCCACATTTCCCCAAGTAATTAAGTTTGGAACACTATATCCCTTATGAGTTTCCACTGAGTCCAAATGAAGATTCTACTTGAAAGTTTTCCTCAAAATGCTCTACACTCCTTAAAGATTATTATTCAGTGCTGATAAATACCCCAGAAAAACATTCTCTAGCTACCTTGTTTACATGTTTATGTTATAGAATCTTTATTTACTGTTACCCTACCAACGTGAGGTCTCATTACAGAAAGCCCAAGAAGTGTATGTATCAATCAAGCCTTCCCTTTGAAGGAAGGATATCACCTTTACAATCACCATGGGATATGCACTCCAAGAACACTGAAGCTTTTATGAAAATAAAATTGTCTGAGGGGAAGTCTTACTGTAATTTTAAATTTATAAAATAACAGCTTGAGAAAGTCTTGGACATTTTCTGTAATACAGCCATTTGCCATTATCTCTTACCACTGTTGAAACAATCATTCCAAGAATATGAGTACCTAGATCTCTTTTACTTTCTAAATGAATAGTAACTTGATTATTCAACACAAATCATCAGCTGCTGTAAAACTATCAAGAAATTACAAGTTGATACTCAGTTATAGCATGTACCAGAGCATATAAACTGTTTTCTTTCATCATAGCAGTTTTATTATTCACACTATAGTAAAAGGTAACACCTAACTGAGCACACAAAGCTCTGGTATTCAACACTGAGAATCATGAAAAAAATATCAGATTGGCACAACATTCTTACTTTTAGCAGTTCAAAATAATGAAGACAGTGGTAAACAGGAGCAAGGAGCAGCCGGGGTAGAACATACTGAACAGCTTCTTTAAAGCCTTCACCTATTGACTAGAAATGAAATAAGTTTCAGTCTTAAAACAATAAATGTATTGAAGCAACAATATAATGTAATTAAAATAGTAACATCAATAATATGGCTTACATAAAAGAAAGTTACCTGTAAATAAAATGCTGCTCCTGGCTTTGATAATTGACTTAGAAAATGATCATGAAAACCAGGTCGCAAAATATCTTGTGCATATGATTCATATGGGTCAAATGCCAGTTCCTAAGAGGAGATACAGATTAATTTTACAGAACTGATTTAAGTCCGTATTTCTTAAAGAAAATACATATGCTACCTAGGACAGACTTTTCTGCATATTTTTTTCTAGAACACCTCTGGAGAAGATTCAATACTTTTACATGCACAGACTCATGGAGTAATTCAGCCTGGAAGAGATCTCTGGAGGTCAACTAGTCCAATTCCCTGTTCAAAACAGGGCCCACCTCAGGACCATAGCCAGATCCAGCGTCAAAGCTAGCTGACATTGCTCAGGGTCTCATCCAGTTACACAGGCACCAAAACCTTTCTGGACAGCCTATTCCAATGTTCAGTTATTCTCGCTGCAGATTTTTTCCCCCACCAATATCTATTCTTTTTACCATTCGTATGCTTTCTCTCATCTTACTTCACAGTTCTCTACTGTGAACCCCCAGTAAAAGCCTCTCAAGTCTTTTCTACACCTTCCCTTCAGGTAACTGAAGACAGCAATAAGATCTCCTTCCTCAGACTTCTCTTTAAGACTGAATAAACCCAGCATTCTTAACCCACTTTGTACATCACAGGCCTCAGCTCCTTAATCATCACAGCAAACTTCATGTACTAGTGTATCTTGTACTAGGAAGACCAAAACTGTCACAGTATGTCAGATGTGGTCTCAAGTGTTACACAGACATGATCCCTCAACCTGCCAGTTACATATTTCCTAATACAGCCCAGCAAGCAGTTAGTCTTCACTGCTGATTCCTGAGGATCTCCAAGCCCTGTTGAGCAGTACTCCTCCTCAGCCAGGCAGCTGGACCGTTGCATGGGGCTGTTTGGCCCCAGGTGTAGAACTTCATGTTTGCCTTTACTCAACCTCCATGAGGTTCCTGTAGGTCCATTTCTCCAGCCTGTCAGGTCCCCTAAGAAGTAGCCCTGTCCTATCTGTGGTCTCTCAAAATTTGGCATCACCTACCAACTTGACGAAGCAGACGTTCACCCAGAACACCAATAGAGACATTAAACAGTATCAGCCCCAGTATCAAACCCCAAGGAATGCTGCTAACCATCAGCGACCAGATGGACTGTGTATTGCTGATGATGGTCCTCCAAGCCAGTCCAGTCCAGCCAATTTCCCCCCCACTCTATAATTCAACTAGCTAGTCTACATCTCATGAGGCTGACTACAAGGACACCACAAGAGACTGTGCTGAAGGCCTTACTTAAGTGCAGATACGGGATACTAACTGCTCTTCCCTTTGTCCATGGAGCCAGCCATCTCCTCTTCAAAAGCAGCCAAGTTGGTTAGGTACAGTTTGTCCTTTGGAAATCTGTGCTGGCTAATGCCAATCACATTCTAGTCCTTCACATGGCTGAAAGTGACTTCCAGAAAGATTTGCTAGTCTTTTGCAGGACTAAGGAGAGGCTGACCAGTTTCTAGTTTCCAGAATCTTCCTCAGTCTTTTTGAGATTGGGCAAAGCATTTTATCTCTGATCACTGGAGGCTTCCACAACACATCACTAAATTTCAGGAATTCTAGACAATGACATTAGCCAGCTGCTTCAGCATCCTGTCCTGCCCCACAGACTTGCATATATCCACCTCAGATCAGTAGTCTCTAACTTGATCTTTTACCTCTCTCCCTTGATCTTCATTGGCAGGCCTAACTGGGAAAACTAGAAGCACATCTTATAAAGAAAGACCTAGCAAAGGAGACCTGAGTACCTCAGTCCATTCTATGTCCTCCAGCACAGGGTCTCTCACCCCATGAGCAAAATACCCACCATATTCCACCATGTTCTTTTTCATTCTATTTTACCTATAAAAGTCATTCTTGCTTTGCTTCACAATCCTCATCAAATTTAACTTCAGCTGAGCTGCAGCCCTCTTAATACCATTTCCACCTGCCTAGACAATGCTTCTACATTCTTCCTGGAAAGCCTCTGTTTCTTTTTGAATCACAGAATCATCTGGGTCAGAAAAGACCCTTAAGATCATACTGTCCAACCATAAATCTAACACTGCCTAAGTACCATTTCCCTAAGCACCACATCTACATATCTTTTAAATACTTCCAGGGATGATGACTCAACCAGTTCCCTTGGGCAGCCTGTTCCAGTGTTTGATAACACTTTTAGTGAAGAAATTTTTCTTAATGTCCAATCTAAACCTCCCCTGGAACAACCTGGGGCTGTTCCCTCTTGTCCTATCACTTGCTACTTGGGAGAAGAGACCAACACCCACCTTGTTACAACCTCCTTTCAGGTAGTTGTAGAGAGTGATAAGGTCTCCCCTCAGCCTCCCTTTCTCCAGGCTAAACAACTTCATTTCCATCAGCTGCTCCTCATAAGACTTGTTCCTAGACCCTTCACCAGCATCGTTGCTCTTTGGACATATTCCAGCACCTCAATGTTTTGTCTTGTAGTGAGGAGCCTGAATTTGATTAAACAGGAAGCTTCAAACTGTGCTCATCCTTACCTCATCCTACACCTATCCTTTTTCTTACGGACTCAGAATGCATATTCCTTGTGCTTTGAACACACCACCTTTGAAAATACACCAGCTCTCCTGAGCCCTTTCAACCCTCAAGGCAGCCACCAATGTGATCCTGCCTCTCAATTCCCTGAAAAAGCTAGGTCTATTCTCCCAAAGTCCAGGGTCTTCAATCTGCTTATCTCCTGCACTTTTCTCAGGACCTTAAACTCTACCATCTCTACCACCTGTGGCCAAGCCTGCCATTAGTTATGGTGTTCCTGCCAGTTCTTCCTTATTCATAAGAAATAGGTAAAGTGCAGCACTTTTTCAGTGGGCCTGTCAGTACATGCCACAAAAAATCTCTCCCGTGCCCTCCACAAATCTTCTGGATTACTTGAATCACAGTGAATTGTCCACCCAAAAGATATCAGGAAGGTTATTATCCCAAGAAATCAGGGCTTGTGGTAAGGAGATGAGTCCTACTATTTAGAGAAGATTTTGGTCACTTGTTGATTGGGCAGTCCTTGCAGAAGAAGCTTGACCACAACATCCCCTTTGGTGGCCTCCTCCTTTGATACTGATCCTTAAGCATTCAACCAGCTCATCATTCATTCCATAACAGAGCTCCATGTATTTGAGCTGATCTTTTATTAAGCCTCCTGGCCTCATCTTCCCCACCTGTCCTTCCTGAGTCCTGTATTTATTCATACAGCCCTCCATCATACAACCCTTCCTGTCATGTTGTTAATTCCAGTCATATAACAGCTCTATAACCATGCACAGACTCCGAGATCCACCTATCTGTACATGAGCACATACACCCTGGGGAAATGGACAACTCATCCCACCTTCTCAGGAGGAAGGTGCAAAAACCTTTCTTCTCATCCTTTCTGTTATGCGCATCCCTTCTCTCAATCCTTCAGTCTGCAGGCTTTGGTCTCCATCCACTAATATGCCTAGATCAAAAGCTTTCCTTACCAGCTTAGCAAGACTGCTGTCAAAGAAGCCTTTGTTCTACTTTCTCTTTCCACAGCAATCCTGACCTACAGTCAATTTACAGGATACCTCCACTTCTGCTGAAGTCTAGTCATAGGTGTTTTTTTTTCCCCCGTACTCTATAAACAGCCCTATAAAAACTGAGGTTTAGAGACTAAAAAGGTAAAAATACTCTCAAAAATGGGCAGTCTATTCAACATGGTGGGTCTGGAAGAAGAGAGATTTCAACCTAAACAAAAGCAGCTAGAACAGAGATGCATTTAGCATCTAAGTGCAAGTCATTAAAATGCATATGAATAGCAAAAGACCCCCAAGCATTTTCTTACCTCTGCCATGTCTTCAAAACAGCTGCCTACTAGTGGATGAGGACTACCTTCATCTGTCATTTCAACAGTGTCTTCTATATGACCCAATAACTTCACACTAAGTTCATGAATGTCTGATATACGACTAAATATATTTTCCACATCCTGCAAAAAGCAAAGGAACCAGACAAAAATCAACAGAAAATTGGACACAATTTCTAAGAGGAAAAATGTTATGTGCAAAGCTACTCTGTTACGATATGGAAGCACTTCCTTAAATAAAACAGGATTTTATGATATATTTTATAATATACTTTCTGTATATTTCATATAAGATTATATAATTTATTTTTAAAATAAAGACTATATAAATATATGAAAATTTACAATGATTCAAACATGGCAAAGAACAATGACAAATCTTAAAATTATGGGCTTGAAACTGAATATAGTTAATTGGGTGGGTTCTTCCACAGATCTACAACACTCATGCTTCCCCACAAGTGCTCCTTCACTATTTCCATTTCAGAATGAGACAAGTGCTTCCTCTATGTCCTGGTTCAGCGAGGATAGAGTAAAGTTTTCCCCAGCAGAGAGAGAGGAGGAAGGGATCTCCAGCCGGGTTATTCATACCATGCTGACGTCAGGTCCAGGGGCGGAGCCTTTTTACTTTTGCTTCTGGTTTTGGTTTTTGCCATACACGTAGTGGGTTTGCTCCTTGACCATTTAGCGGTATTTCTCTGTATATCTTTTGTCTTGTTCACTGTTACTGCTGTTTTTTGCTGTTGATACTGTTGCTGTTCAGATTGTTCTATCACTCTGTTGTATTAAATTTCTTGTTATTTTAGCCGGGGTCTGTGTTTAACTTCCAACCCGACCGGCGTGGGTGGGGGAGGGGCAACGGCAACGTGTTCTCTCATCCCGGCAAGGATTAAACCTTGCACATTAAAAATTGGTGCCCAATGTGGGGCAGACCCTGACCAGAGTGTGGTAGAGCAATCTGTTGGGTGTAATCTTTCTGTTTGTGTTTGTTTTATAAGAAAATGTTTGCAATGCTGGCCCCTTTGCTCGCGTGGGGGGAATGGATTAACCCTTATATCCAGTGTATAATCCCAGTGGTGGTGTTTGTTATCAGTGGAAAATGTGCAAAGGGCCTTATGTTGTTATACAGGCTATTGAATGCTTATAATGCCTTTGTATCGCTGTGTGTGGGGGTGGGCCGGTACCTGTTTGACATTTGTTTTTTTGTTAGGGGTCTCACCCCCTCTGTGGGTGAACCAGGGGAAGAGATCCTCTCGGCTTTGGAGAGTTTTAACTATTCATGGAGCCCGCAGGCCAGTGTGATTGTGGCACTATGCCTTCTGAATGTCTGCCTGATTTCGGTTTTGGCCATATGGTATTTCTCTGACAACAGCAGTGCTCGGAAACCTGCCCTGAGGCCAGATAATAGTGAGTGGCAAGGGGCATGGGAAAAGATGGGCAAAGTCCTGAGTCAATGGGCACCCCCAACGCTTTGGAATTTCACTCCTGAGCAAATGCAAAGCCCTGAGAAGCTGATGGAGTGCTTAGAAAGGGTGTGTTACCAAACTGGCAAAACCCAGGAGACACAAATCGCTGCAATGTGTTGGGGGCTTGCCCATGCGTACCGTGTCCTCTTTAATACCACCCGCTGACTTCAAAGGGAAGAAAAGGCCACACAAACAATATCTGAACCAGAGGCACAGGCAGTGGCAGTGTCAGTCACCTCCACCAGCACACAGACTGAGCCAGAGAGCCAGGCAGTGCCGGTGTCAGTCACCCCGATACAGAAAACAAAATATACCAGAAAGTCTGTTCGCAGAGTGAGGGATGAGGATGAGCCAAGCCCATCAGAGGAACAGGAGGAAGGACCAGAGGTAATTGTCCGATCTCTGTCCCTGACTGAGCTGCGAGATATGCGGAGAGATTTCGGCCGCCTGGGAGGTGAGCAGATTTGCATCTGGCTGCTCCGATGCTGGGACAATGGAGCCAGTGCTTTTGAGATGGAAGGGAGAGAGGCCAAGCAGCTGGGATCTTTGGCCAAGGATGATGGCATTGATAGGGAAATAGGGAAACAGGCTCAAACCCTCAGCCTTTGGAAGTGACTCCTGTTCAGTGTAAGGGAGAGGCACCCCTACAAGGATGATATCCTATGTCAGCTAGACAAATGGACCAACATTGAGAATGGCATCCAGAACCTCAGGGAACTGGCTGTGTTTGAGATGATCTATGGTGATCTGAATTATGAGCAGTCACCCATGGACCCAGATCAGGCCCCTTGCACACACCTGATGTGGCGAAAGTTCCTGAAGAGCGCACCAGAAGCACACTCGAAAGCATTGGCAATAGTGTCCTGGTGGACAGACATCCAGACTCTAACAGTGGATGGAGTGGTTGGCCAGCTGTGGCAATATGAGGGAAATCTCCCTTCATCTCAGCATTCCTGGGTCTCAGCTGTGGAGGAACTGTCTCAGAGGCTCCAGAAAATGGAAGAGGGCATGTCCTACGTTCCACCTGCATGGGCTAATGTCTCAGCCATTAGACATAAACGTTTCCCCACCCAAGAAAAAGGCAGCAGAAGGTACACACCACGAGGCACCCTGTGGTTTTTCCTCCGTGACCATGGAGAGAACATGAGGAGGTGGGATGGACAGCCCACTGCTGCCCTAACTGCACGAGTAGAGCAGCTGAAAGGGAAGGCCATCGCAAAATGGGAGTCCTCCAAGAAGAGCGCAGCTCTAGTGTCCAGTCAGAAATACCCCAGACAGAATAGAATGGTGAACGTTATGTCTGATCCTCTTGAGGGGACCAGTAAATCACTCTTTCAACAAGTGAGTGATGATGAGCAGGATTAGAGGGGCCCTGCCTCCAGCCAGGTGAAGGGATAATCAGATTTACTGGACAGTGGGGATCCGATGGCCTGGCACATCTGATACACAAGAGTATAAGGCTGTGGTGGACACTGGCGCACAGTGCACCCTGATGCCATCGAACTACAGTGGGGTGGAATCCATCTGCATCTCTGGAGTGACAGGGGGATCCCAAAGCTGACCCTACTGGAAGCTGAAGTGAGCCTGACTGGGAAGGACTGGCATAAGCACCCCATTGTGACTGGCCCAGATGCCCCGTGCATCCTGGGCATAGACTATCTCAGGAGAGGGTACTTCAAAGACCCAAAAGGGTACTGGTGGGCTTTTGGTGTAGTTGCCCTGGAGGAGGTTTAACAGTTGTCCACCTTACCCAGCCTCTCAGAGGATCCCTCAGTGGTGGGGCAGCTCAAGGCTGAGGAGCAGTGAGTGCCGACTGCTACCAAGACGGTGCACCGGCGTCAGTACCGCACCAACCGAGATTCCCTGGTCCCCATCCATCAGCTGATCCGTCAACTAGAAAGCCAGAAGGTGATCAGCAAAACTCACTCCCCCTTCAACAGTCCTATCTGGCCAGTGAGAAAGCCTAATGGCGAATGGAGGCTAACTGTGGACTACCGTGGCCTGAATGAAGTTACGCCAGCAATGAGTGCTGCAGTGCCGGACATGCTAGAGCTCCAGTATGAACTGGAGTCAAAGGCAGCCAAGTGGTATGCCACGACTGACATTGCTAACGCGTTCTTCTCCATTCCGATAGCGCCAGAGTGCAGGCCACAGTTTGCATTCACTTGGAGAGGCATCCAGTATACATGGAATCGATTGCCCCAGGCGTGGAACCACAGCTCCACCATTTGCCATGGAGTGGTCCATACTGCACTGGAGAAAGGTGGGGCTCCAGAACACCTGCAGTACATTGATAACAACATTGTGTGGGGGGACACAGCTGAGGAAGTTTTTGAGAAAGGGAAGAAAATCATTGAAATCCTCCTGAAGGCCGGCTCTGCCATTAAGCAAAAGAAAGTTAAGGGGCCTGCAAGGGAAATTCAGTTCCTAGGAATAAAATGGCAAGATGGGCATCCCCACATCCCAGTGGAGGTGATAAAGACGGTAACAGCCATGGCCCCACCAACCTCTAAAAAGGAGAGTCAGTCTTTCCTGGGCGCTGTGGGGTTCTGGAGGATGCACATCCTGAACTGCAGCCCGATTGTGAGCCCTCTCTACCACGTAACCCGTAAGAAGAACAATTTTGAATGGGGCCCTGAGCAACAACAATCCTTTGAACAGATTAAACGAGAGACTGCCCAAGCAGTAGCCTTCGGGTCAGTCTGGGAAGGGCAAGAGGTTAAGAACATGCTCTACACTGCAGCCGGGGAGAATGGCCCTACCTGGAGCCACTGGCAGAGAGCACCTGTGGAAACCCAAGGCTGACCTCTGGGCTTTTGGAGCCGGGGATACAAAAGCTCTGAAGCTAATTACACACCAACTGAGAAGGAGATACTGGCAGCGTACGCAGGAGTTCGCGCTGCCTCAGAAGTGGTTGGCACTGAAACACAGCTCCTCCTGGCACCCCAACTGATGGTGCTGAGGTGGATGTTCAAAGGAAAGGCCTCCTCCACGCATCATGCAACCGATGCCACGTGGAGTAAATGGGTTGCATTGATAACACAACGGGCTTGAATAGGGAACCCCAGCCGCCCAGGGACACTAGAGGTGATTACGAACTGTCCAGAGAGCAAAGATTCCAGGATGTCACCAGAGCAGGAGGTGACACGTGCTAAGGAGGCCCCACCATATAACGAGCTGGCGGATGAAGAGAAGCGATATGCCCTGTTCACTGATGGGTCTTGTCACATTGGGGGAAAACACTGACGCTGGAAGGCTGCTGCATGGAGTCCCACACGACAAGTCACTGAAGCTGCTGAGGGACAGGGGGAATCGAGCCAATTAGCAGAGGTGAAAGCCGTTCAGCTTGCTTTGGACATGGCTGAGCAGGAAAAGTGGCCAAGGCTCTACCTGTACACCGACTCGTGGGCAGTGGCGAATACCCTGTGGAAATGGCTGCAGCAATGGAAGCAGGACAACTGGCAACGTAAGGGTAAAACCGTCTGGGCTGCTGAAGTATGGCAGGACATTGCAGCCCGTGTGGAAAACCTCGATGTGAAGGTACACCATGTGAATGCCCACGTACCCAAGAGTCGGGCCACTGATGAGCATCGACACAACCACCAGGCAGACCAAGCTGCTAAGACTAGAGTGGCTCAGGTGGACTTGGACTGGCAGCGCAAAGGTGAACTGTTCATAGCCCGGCGGGCCCATGAGACCTCGGGCCACCAAGGTAGGGATGCAACATACAGGTGGGCTCGAGATCAAGGGGTGGACCTCACCATTGACACCATTGCAGAGATCATCCACGGATGTGAGATGTGTGCTGCAATCAAACATGCCAAGCGGGTGAAGCCCCAGCTAAATGGAGAGCGATGGCTGAAATATAGATATGGAGAGGCCTGGCAGATTGACTCCATCACACTGCCACAGACCTGCCACAGGAAGCACCACGTGCTCACAATGGTGGAAGTAACCACTGGGTGGCTGGAAGTTTACCCAGTGCCCCACGCCACCGCCGGGAACACCATCCTGGGCCTTGAGACCCAAGTCCTGTGGCAACACGGCACCCCGGAGAGAACTGAGTCAGACAATGGGACCCACTTCTGAAACAACCTCATAAATGCCTGGGCAGAAGAACATGGCATCGAGTGGGTCTACCATATCCCCTACCACGCACCAGCCTCTGGGAAGATCGAGCGCTACAATGGACTGTTAAAAACCACATTGAAAGCACTGGGAGGTGGGACCTTCAGAGACTGGGACACGCATCTAGCAAAGGCCACCTGGCTAGTCAGCACAAGAGGATCTGCCAGTCGAGCTGGCCTGGCTCAGTCAAAACCTCCACGTGCTGTAGATGGGGATAAAGTCCATCTGGTGTGCATGAGGAATATATTGGGAAAAATGGTCTTGTTTAGTCCTGCACCAGGCAAATGTAAAGGCAAACCCATCCATAGGATTGCTTTTGCCCAAGGACCTGGGTGCACCTGGTGGGTGATGCAGGACAATGGAGAGGTCCAATGTGTACCACAGGGGGACTTGATTTTGGGTGAGAACATGCCATAAACTATGCTGTGCCTGTGCAGATTATTACTTTGTTATTGTTAACTGCTGAATGGCAGCTGGACATGACGCAGATGGTATAGAATAAAAGGGTGGATTCTGTCCTAGTTCAGCCAGGATAGAGTAAAGTTTTCCCCAGCAGAGAGGGGGAAGGGATCTCCAGCCGGGTTATTCATACCATGCTGACGTCAGGTCCAGGGGCGGAGCCTTTTTACTTTTGCTTCTGGTTTTGGTTTTTGCCATACACGCGGCGGGTTTGCTCCTTGACCATTTAGCGGTATTTCTCTGTATATCTTTTGTCTTGTTCACTGTTATTGCTGTTTATTGTGGTTACCATTGATACTGTTGTTGTTCAGATTGTTCTATCACTCTGTTGTATTAAATTTCTTGTTATTTTAGCCGGGGTCTGTGTTTAACTTCCAACCCGACCGGTGCGGGTGGGGGAGGGGCAACAGCAACGTGATCTCTCATCCCGGCAAGGATTAAACCTTGCACACTCTACTACTGATATGTTAAAATGGGACAACATTTCAGTTCTAGAACTGCTCATCTAGATTTATAGATATAGATAGGGGCTTTTATGTGGTTTGTACAATACTTACATGAGATGAAAATAGTTTTGAGTTGGAGGCATATGGCTCTCTGAAAACTCTAATAATGAGATTTAGTTCTCTTATATATTGTCGAACCTCTGCCATAAATGACTTCACTAGGTCATAATAGGTTTGCTCGCCTGAGGTGGATGGTTCCTCATCAGATAAAGTTAGTGCACTTAAATCTTCTACATCTTGATGGAACATATCCATTAATACCTAGGTAGCAAAGAGAGGGAAATTCACAAAATGAGAACAATTTCAAGATCTACCAGCAAGTTACCAGTAAAGGAAATTTATTATTCCCATAAAATCAGACTGATCACCAGTAAGATTTGCGTTATCATTCTGCAACCAGTTAGGCATTACAGAAGCAATATTCATTGCTATGAATTTGCAAGTCATTATTTGCAGTGGCAATTTCTGAAGAATTCCCAGTAATTTAGACCAATACAGGCAGCTCTCCAAAAACGTGCTTCTATAAATCAACTATAATTTTAAGATGTCTATGAAGTATACAGACACATTTAGCATTTAGCTGTATTCCATTACTCTGAATTAGCTGTGCATAACCTAAGTTTCTGAAGATACTATATTATCTGAAGTCAAAAAGTGTGTGCATTTTGGCTTTTCAGCTTTAGCTTTAACGGGAAGTCACACATGATTGTGCTCAGAATCCCGTCATCTATCTTTGATGAATACTGGCCTGCCCACACACTGTACATGGCCTGTCAGGAATGGAAACGGACCCTTGAGGAAGGGCACCAGCTTCAAAAAAGGTGGCAGTCACATTGCAGAACTACATAGACAAAAGGACCTCTAAAAGCTTTGACTACCAGAGGTCCCAATTCATACCCAAGCAAGGCTTACCAAACACAATAATCTGAACTGCTCAAGAAAAGTGGATCATTGAACACTTCTTGCAGATGTAGTATCTGAGTCAGGAGTCATTACAAAGACTTAGCAAACAGAAATTACACTTTGCATTGTTTCCATGATACTCAAAGAGCATCTTAAAATGTAAACTAAATAAACTGACTGCAAATTAGTAAAAGGCATCCTAATTTTAAGTATCTTTAGCAGAAAGAAAACCTAAAGAGGGTCCACAAAAAAAAAATCTACAATGACATAGCAAATCTTAATAAGCCAGCATGAGATGAAGTTCAACATACAAGATTACTTTGTCCTGAGATAGACAGATGGAACAGTATTTATAAAGAAATCTGCTGTCCAGAGCTACACCCCTTCTAGCAAGTCATGAAATCTATCAAACAATGCATATGAACTTCAAAATAAGTGAGAACTTCAGTGCTGCTTGCCAGCCTCCCTTCCAAACAAATGGAGGTGAAGCCATGGCAACCTTTGCCTGCTACTGCAGACTGACATGACTGCTGTCAATCACTGTAAAGACTGAGGAAAAGACTGAAGGATCAAAGTTGTAAATACTGCTCTGAGAACCACAGGAGGGAAGGTTAACACTAAACATGAACTAGAGTTTTTAAAGTGGCAGAAAACAAAATGAAAAAGGGTTTTTCAACATAATAATAAAACCAGAGATCAAGAATCAAACTTCTGAATAAGTCCCAACAAACATGGCATTTACACCACGGTATTTACAGTAAAGTCTTTTTTCTTTAAGGCATGTTACAGGCACTTCTGCAGAAAACATGTCAACCAAGCTGTTGACTAGTAGTATTAGACAAATGATCTATTCTGCAAGAGAATACTCGGGGTTCTGTAGGTTCAAGAGATGGTCTGGTAGGTTCATCACACTTGAATATTGGAACAAACACACCTACCTATAGCAGTCATTCTTCACCCAGGTCTTGTCCTAACACTCCTCAAAAATATATAGGTCTAGTGAGGAGGGAAATGGACATACAGCAGGCTCTTTCTCCTAGTGAGTCAAAGGTCCCTGCTACACACCCTGGTCTTAAGTTTCTCTGAAAGCAGAACAATGGATGTTTTGCATTAAGACTGACTACTTATGAAGCTTCAAGAACAGAAGGTGATTTGTCTTTTAAAGCCAGGGAATGTACATGGAACTCTGGTTATACAGAGAATCCTGATTAGTTCTGAGGAAGGGGACATTACAGGGTCACTACTGTAGGAAATTACATGGAATAATTCAGGTATTTAAGGAGGCCCAAATATATGTGATTTTACTTCAGAGTTCTACCACATATCTGACTACTACGAAATCCACAGAAACAAATTAAAGTAACTATACCTCAGATATAGGGTTCAGAGCAATCAGAAGCACGAGCAGATAGAAGATAACCAGTGTGCATTTTAATGGAATTTGTTTTTTGCAGACAAGACAGTTTTCCAGATGGATGGCACAAAAGCAAATGTGAAAATGTTTGAGAAAAAAAATGGCACACAAGGTCAAGAAACTGTTCAATTTCAAAAAATGGCACACAAGCATGTGTTATGGGTATGAACATAATATATTATGAAATTTCTTGGTGCAACTGGAAACAAACTGGCTTGTTCTGCTGAGGCAGTAAACAAACAGTCCTGCTTTAGAGTCTTTCAAAAATTTCTTCTAAGTACCTATCAAAGAGTTCTTCCAGTGTAACAAATGGAAGTTCCTAAATCAACTTCATCATGGCTCTCCTGCTCACCACCCTTCCTAGGATAGAAAGAAGCATGCAGCAACAGCACTTGTTCCTGTTATTCTATGACAAATATTCAAACATACACCTTCAAATCCTGCCCTAATGACCCAGGCAGATACGCCCAAAAGCAAGAGTGACCACGACTGTCCTGACTGAAAAGTACTTGACTCTTCAAGAAAGTAAAAAAGGTGAAGAAAGTCGGATATAAAAAAAAGTGAACAGGAATGAGACAAAGACATTCACTGAAACACAGAGACGATCCCAACTGAAGATAACATAGACCAACACAAAATACTAAAAAGAGGTGATAAATCTGAAAATCTCTAGACTTGAGAGATTCTTAAATCCCATCCCTTAGAGGACTAACTTCAAGCTTTATTGTTTAAACAATTGAAAACTTGAGATGCTAATGAGGTGGCCAGAGAAGCTAGAGTGCAAAGGCAGACAGGCGACCCTGCTCTATCACTGCTAGAGAGAGGTGATTCCTGTTTGAACCTAATGAATCTTCTGAAGCTAAAAGAAAGACTACCTGCAGATAAAAATATGGACCACTAAGGAAAAACTAAGCTGAGATGCTAATGCAGGTGGGTTTTTTGTATAAAAATTCTGGACCATTGAAACATTACTTTTTACATGCAATACAGACTTACTTATTTTGGGAGAACACCCAAGCTTAATTTCAGCCTTCTTTTTTCAAGCTACAAAATCAAGCCCCATGATTACAGTTTAGGAAAGTTACATTTTTAAGTTAGCACTCCTTTACAATAATTTTTAAAACATTCACACATTGCTGAGATTAGGCAAGTGGTATCAAAAGGAAGAGAGACAACTACTAGTAAGCACAAACAGCAGCTCTGTAGGCTCAATTGGCTTTTTGGTGGCTTTGCTCTATTACCAAAGCCATATTTTACGGCAGTAATTGCTTCTTTGAAAGGTACAACACTCCATGTACTCAGTAAGGAATAGACATTGCCCTCTCAAAACTTAACTAAAACTTCCTGTTAACATAAGAAACAAGAGTCAGGCTTACCTTATCAGCACACATTGCCACTTTAATATCCTGTTTTGTAATCTCATAATGTCTTATATTCCGCACATAATTCCCAACCAACTTTAAGATGTCTGCAGAAATATATTCTAATACTGCCACTATGTAAATAGACACTTGGTGGTCAATTTTGTAGCCTAGAACTTCCTGAAAGAAGAAACAAAAAAAGGAGTGTTCCACTATTACTCAGTTGACAATATAAACTTACTGCAACCAATGGTGTGTAAGACCCTATTCAACATTCACCACATATCCACAGTCTACTGTAGTAACAGAAACACAGTAGTTTGTCAGCCTAGAGAAGAAAAAGTGTCATGATAGATACTGCTCTATTAACTGGGGAAGTGACAACAGCCAACAACTGTCCCAAAAACCTCACTTAAACATCTAGGGTTATTTCCAGAAGTTTCTCGAGCATTTTCTTTGCCATGCAAAATGAAACAAGAACAACCAAATTCATAGGAAATGAGTTCTTCACTTTGTTTGTCCAACAGAGAATTAACTAATTTTTAAGTGAAATATACGCAATTAACTGAACTGAAACACAAAATAAAACTGTGCAACAAACACATTCTTAATCCTTTCTGTTTACATTTCAAGCAGCACACAGACATTACATGAAACAAATTCTAATTGCATTTAAAAAGTAAGACTACATCACAGCTTACCTTTAATAAGGGATGGATTTTTTCTACTGGGAGCGATAACGGATTTCTTCGTTTCCTTTTCTCAATAGCAGACTGGGCATCAGCTATTGCCCACTTATCAATAGGGTGGGGAAAACTTTTTTGAACACGATCCTTAAAAAAACAGGACTAAAGGGTAAGTGCACAATCTGAATGAACTTAATATTACTACATTATCAAACTGTTTTCCATTACTTCACAAAGGAACATTTGCTGATGTTAGTATTTCAACTATAAAAGCCTGTATAACACACAAATTTTATCATTTTGGTACATGCTTTTCAACACGTTCATAAGGCCGTACCAGAACATCACTGTCATAAAATAATCTAGTGCTCAAAATTTAAGAAATGCCAGAATTAAGTTGCCACTGCAAGCACAATTTGCTCCCCTTGTGCACACGCCTGGTAATTCAGCATTTAAATACCTGACTATATTTATCCTAGCACTTTACTCCCTGTACAGAATGGTCACTGAATGAGATGATACGAATTTTCAATTTAAACTTTACTGATCAGCGTATGGTCCAGATTGTATATATTCAAATTGTTCCAATGGCGATGAACATAGGAAAAGAGAGGGAATGTTCAACAGCACCCACAGATTTAAAAACATTTTTATGGTCTATAGTTGGACCATCTGTCTCAGATTTACTCCTTTCAGCAGTCAAGGTGCCTGAGGACACCTACACTCTCCCATGCATTGAACAACTCTCCTGCTGTAACTACAGGTGTCTGAAGCTTCACCATTTTTGGTAGCCTGGTGTTCAGATATGCCAAAAATCAAATTTCTCAGACAAATTCACATTTTATTTTTTCAGAATACAGTTCCCACTGACTGTTTTGGTTGCAAGTGCTCACTTATGTAAACACAACCCCCATTTGAGCAACCATGAAATGAGGAAGATGAAGTTAACGACCACTTACAAAGAGCTGGTACAGGAAAAGTACACAAAAGCTTTCTGACAAAAAACTGGGACAGAATACAATTCTATAGAAGTGGCACCCAACTTCCCAAAGTACAGTCTTTTCTTTTTCTTCCCTCATCATAACACTTCTGCAAAAGGAAGTCCTACCAAAAAAAAAAGTCTCATTCACTATCTAATACCAATTCACTCTCCTAACATAGTCCAGCCTGCTGACTGAACAATGAAGGTGTCCCAGGGGAAAAATAAATGTGTATGGCCCCATAATTAAAGACAGCATAATTATGCATAAACATAAAGGGGGTAAACTGAGGTTGTTCAATCATCTCTAATCCTTTCATTTCTCATCCTAACTTCACAGCCATAAGACTCATAATGCAGTGCTGCATGTCAAGTTTTCTGTTAGTGTTGTTTAAAACACAGCATTGAACAATCTTCCACAAACCTCCTGTCTCGAGGTGCCAGACCAGAATGATGTTGCGAAACAGGCCAGCCATTAAAGGTGATACTGGAACATCATTAGAGGTGTCAGTGTTCCAAAGAGAAGAGGAAGGACGAAATTCATGAATTGATCTTAGAGCCAGCTACCTTTCTAAGGGGTTGGGTTTTTTTTAAAGAGGTTAGGGGTTTTTTGCCATTAGTCCACTTTCTTCAGAATGTGAGGAAGTTGCATCTTGTTTTGTTACCTAACCTGCCACAGGCATAGCCCCCAAGTACTTGAAACCAACAACCACACTGCACTTGGAGTCTGTAGCTTGGCATTAAAGTCTTTGAATTATGGTGAAGCACAAAGGGCAACCAAGATATTAATGGGATTAGAAGCTTAAATCATTCATCTTAACTAATTTGTTTCTCCAATGAAGAAACAGATCAAGTCCTCTTTCTCAAACATCAAGCTGCTTTGTGAGCAACAGAGGTTGTAGATCTCTCTACTGGGTCTGGCTGAGCTGGAATTGGTTTTCCCCTATAGCAGCCCTCACAGTGCTCTTTTATGTTGGGAGCTGGCAGGGTGTTGATAGCACCCTGGGGTTGTGGCTACTGCTGAGCAGTGCTTACACAGCACCAAGGCTCTTTCTGATATTTTTCCCCCCCAGTGGGATGAGGTGGGCAAGAACTTGGGAGGGGACACAGCCAGGACAGCTGACCCAAACTGACCAAAGGGATATTCCATACCATATGACGTCTGCTCAGTATAAAGCTGGGAGAAAGGAGGGAGGGGGTGGGGTCACCCTTGGTCCTCCGAGGCAACCACTACATGTATTGGAGCCCTGCTTCCTGAGAAGGTCCGACAGCGCCTGTTAATGGGAAGTAGAGAATAAATCTGTTTTCTTTTGCTTCTGCGCGTGGACCTTTGCTTCGCTTATATTAAAACTGCTTTTGTTTTACCCACAAGGATTGGTCTATCTTATTTTCTTTCCCCTCTTTGCCCGGTTGAGAAAACAAGGGGAAAGGGGGGTGGAAGTGATAGAGCAACTTGGTGGATATCTGGCATTTAGCCAAGGTCATACTGCCACAATCTCTGAAAAGGCAATTTTAAGAGAAGATGTTTCTACATAGAGGAAAGAAGTGCTCCTCAACTCATTCTGAGAAAGTGATTGAACTAATTTTGTTCAAATTTCCAGGATGGCAGGGGGTAGGTATATCAACCTGAATCACCATGCTGATAAAGCAGCACAGAGACTCAGACTAAGCAGCTACAGCTTGCATGAAGTATCCGCAAGGACAAAAGGTCTTTCAAAAGGAACCACTCAGCTTTATGTACACAAGTTACACTCACCATCTACTATACAGTAATACACTTCAGAGACTACTGCGTATTGAACAACAAATTCAATTGATAAGAAAATACATAATTACTGCTTTCCTTTTTACACTGTGAAATGATTAATGTATTAATTTTTCATGTAACAGATCAAATTATTACAGATTTGCAATAATTATTCTCTATACCTCTACATCCAGAAAACTTCTTGGCTGGGCTTGACACAACATATTTAACAACTGGAGAATTAATTCCTCCACATACTGTAACGCATCTTCAGTAGAGGAAAGTTTAGGATGGACTTGCACCTGAACCTGTAGGAAACAGAAGAATTCAATCTTTGAGTTTTGCTCTTCCCCAAACCACATGCTTTACTTGCAAAAAAAGATAACAAAAGAATGAGCCAACAGCTCAGAAAAATCCAACCCAAAAGGTAGCTCTATTAAGCCAGACCAGACAAACACGAGTGAAACACTCATTGAAGCCTGGTAGAAATACAAATCTCAAGTGTTAAATGTACTCAAATTGCTGTGACATCTAATGTCAAGAAAACAGCTAATTAATAATAGTGCTTAGCAGTGCAATTAGTAAAACTGTTTAAAAGCCCTGCATATATTTATCTTTCTTCCCTAGCTCTTAAACCACTGTTTATACAAGGTGTTTTAGACTGGGGTTTTCTCCCTTTTATAACTCATTGTTTGTCACTCAATCTGTAATAATAAATACAGAAATTTTTCCACAGTGAGAGCACTACCGAAACAGTAATGATTTCAGCAGTATTACTCTGGAAATTATTTAATCCATTTTCAATTAGCTTTCACTAAAATAAGATTGGGTTAGAGTTTGTTTCCATACCGATTTTTAAAAATATGTCAGCCTCTAGAGTAAAAAAACATTTCAAAAAAGGTCAAATTGTTGTCCCGGCATTAAGTGGCAGTTCAGAGCTTTTGAAAGTTTGGTCCTGATGTTTAATTTGTATGTCATAACTGTCCATAAAGTCTCACTGGTGTAAATCCACTGAGGCATGATCCCCCTTGCTTCTCCTATTATTTTTCCAGACAGTCATTTTACTTCTGAAACAAGCCTCCAGTATATCTTTCCTCTGCACTTTGGTAGTTCACAAAATAGCACAGTTTTAACCAGTTGAAATTTCAGGTACGCAAAGCTCAGTGCTTTAGATCTTAAACAGACATGCAATTTAATCTCAATCCTACGCTGATGGCAAATACTATGACAGAACAAGCTGACCGCTAACTTTCACAACACATCTTTGAAGCCCCAATTTCATCATTTTACCATTCCACTGCACACAACTCAAAATGCCTCCAGTTCTCTCAATCACTAACACAAGAGCTTAACCACCTTAAACCAAAATCCAACAATCTGTCACATCCAAATATTAAACCCATGTCTATATTAAAATACTGGTGCCATAATTATTTAATTTTACACTTGAGTTTTCATTCCTGTTAGCAGCTACAGCAAGAATGAAATGTTACAAAATTCAAACACAGAACAGCCTCAAATAGAAATCCACTTGCCTGCTAAGGCACTCATTAGTTTGCAAACTTCATGTCTGGGCATAGTTCTGGTGCCCATTTAACTGTTGTTGAGATTTAAATATGCTAGATCATGCATTTAGTTTCTTGTGGACTGTACACCCTTATGCAGTATGTCCTAAAAAATCCTCTATAAGTTATTAATTTTTTAACTTAAAAGCACTCTGGTAAAAATAGAAGAGAATTCTTCATTTGACTAGCTAATGTAACTGTTGATTACGTCAACAGTTTCATTTTTCCCAAGAACTTCCACCATGCACAGCTACAGAGTGTATTTGTGAAGGTACCCAAGTAACAGAATGCCCAGAAGCCCCAAACATCATTTACAATTCAAAGACTGACATCAGATACTGTACCAGCTTGGAACCTCTTAACAGCAGAAATTACAGACTCGCACAAGTATTCTCTTAAAGATCTAAGCTGATCTGTACTGCCTGGAAGATACTGCCTTTAATGTATTTTTTTAAAGCCGAACAGAACAAATTTGTATTACATTCTCCCTGCAGTATACTCCAGCATTTTGTATTTTGGAGAGTATTAAATTACCAAGTCAATCTGACAGTAAAAATACAGAGCATGATAAACCAGAGTTATGAAGAGCAACTCTGGTTTCTCCTTTACTTGGAAAACAGATTGTAGACTTAAATAGTCTTACCACAACTCTTTTAGTCTGTAACACAAAGTCTACAGGAATAAGAACAAACCAAAATCCAGTGTGTGTGTGTGTGTGTGTGTGTGTGTGTGTGTGTGTGTGTGTGTGTGTGTGTGCGTGTGCGCGCGCAATTACATCATTATTCTCAAAGCCCATCATCTTCTGGCACTACCAAGCTCTGCTTTAGTAGAATATCCACCTCAGCAGAGTGTAAGGAACTGAAGGAAGTAATGCCTCAAACACTCAACATAGAAACCCCCAGAGACAAGTTGTGGCCTTTGTGATTAGTCTAAGGAATGTCACTCAAGGAAGCAGCATATCGAAGGATGCACCCCTTACTCCCCTGCAGTTGTACTGATAAATTCCTTAGATAAGCCTCAAAGGGGGGAAACATGGACTGAGTGAAACCAAATGTTTCTCATCAAGCACAAAGACCAGTAATCATTGGCTTATACAGTGGAGCCAAAGGCCTGAGAAGTGGTAAGCATTTCTGACCCAGAAACTGGATGATTGCTCAAGAAGCATGAAGTCAGCAAAAATCTGTGGGAACAGAGGACAGGGTGACTACAACCACTGACTCAATTGGACAAGGGGTGGTGCACCCCATTCCCCCTCAATGTATGCACAGAACCCAGACTCCACCTTTTTCCTCGTCTCTCACAGAAATCAGTTTGTGGAATACCTGCCTCTCTTTGTCTAGTATGCTAATCAGCTGATAAAATGAACTTAAAAGGCGACAGAAACTTTGCTGTGCACCCACCACCCAAGATTACCAGACTTGAGACAATGCTGGATCCAGGGGTGGTGATCTGGATTTGACTCTCTTTCTCTCCTTTTTCTTTTCTTTCTTATAAGAGACCACATTGCTTATTACCCTTTCCAAAGGTTAAATTGTTTTCTACCACAAGTAAATAATTTCAGCTGGTCGTTTGGTGTCGTTTCACCTTAATTTAATCCAAGGTGATCACAGAACCATTGCAACTCTCTGGGCTTCCAATCTGGGTTGTGACAGAGAAAAATATCCTGAGGTGCCAACGGCTTGCCAGCATAGCTTATCTATATTAGGTAGGTAGTAAATAAGCTTCACCACTACTTAAGTGAGATTTAGTACCATTTATGGTTCAAACTCATATAAGCAAAAGAAAGACAACAGATAGACTAACAAGGAAAATTACAGGATAGTTTGGTATACAATTATAACAGAAACGTGTAATTTTAGTATCTGTACTACTGTGGTACTTAAAGGCTCAGACTGACAGTGAAAGCGTTATTTAAGGGTATTCAAAGCAAGTCCCAAGAAGTCCATTACCTAAGATGTGATGCAAGACTGAGTAAGATGGAAGATTTAGTAAGAGAAGACAAGAAATTAGAACATCGGTTAGCATACACTGTCACCATGGCCAATTTTAAAAAAGATCAAGTGACCAGGGGGTTTTCACCCTTCTCATAAAGTCAGCTCAGATTTTAAATTAAAAAAACTGGGCCACCCTGCCTTACCACCCTTGAAAAGGAGTATGGGTTGAATCCCACCACATCCTTCACAGTCCTATGTTAGGAATACACATGATAAAAAGAGACTAACAACTTCTAACTTCCCTTAAATAATGACAGAATCCTTTCCCTCCCACACACACAAAATGTCTATCTCGTAAGGGAATTTACTAAAAGAGCAGCTTAAGATCTTTTCACAAAAGGTTCTACTCTTTGAAACACCTCAACAAATTCCATGAGGTAAATACATCAGCTACAAATCCCTGCCTCCAAGGCTCTGTTTTCACTCATCTGATCACTTTTTTGAATATTTGGTCTTCTCAGCATTTTTTAATTCTCAAAAGAGAAATGACTAGGACTTTTTTTTTTTTTTTATTTGAAGGTAAGCAGAACCAGCATTTTTTGAACAGCTTTTCATGCTCTGTTTAAGAAGACAAGCAGAGACAAGCAGTGCCTGCTTAAGAAAATCCGTAGCGCTTCAGGAAAATCCTACAATATGATCACTTGGCTTTTTTTCCCCCCTTCCCTTAAAGATCAACAAAAGCGAGGAATTTCTATCAGGAATGGTAACAACTTAAAAATTAGGCAACCATAAATCTAAATTGTCAGAAAAAAAATCAGTTAAACCAACTAAAAAAAAAAGGGCTTAATAAATAATACAAAGATAAATATATCTGATCTTACTTTATAACCGTTAGTAATTTGTTTTATATAAAGCTTTCTCAAACCATTCCTTTCAAACTCTACATAATAAATCAGAACATAAACACTCCCAAAGCCTCATGTGAAGCAGTAGAGATCTAGACCAAACCCAGAAACAAGTTTCAGTTAAAGCAGATTGAACAGCTCCAGTTTACAAAGAGGCTTGGTCTCTGACTGGTCCAACTCCTAGGCTGGTGACAAGATAACCCAAACCACCGGTCTAGACTGACTCTCAGCAGCTCATTCTACACTAGAAAGAGGTGTTTGATAACAGAAAAGAAAGACTCACACAGTGAATTTAACAATCCTACTGACATCAAACAAGCAACAGTTTTCAGTTACTTCTTCCTCACTTGGTCATGAGGAAAAGGCTTATCGATGTTGATTTTAAAGCTGAAAAAAATCAACTTGCAATGAAAAAACCTCTCCAGGGACTTCTTAAAGCAACTTCGGGTATTACACAAAACCACCACTGTAATGTTCCCAAATCATCATTAACAATCAATGTAATCAGGCTCACGGTTCTCAGTTCTGCTAAATACAGAACACACCAGAAAAATCTTACATGTGAAAGGCTGCAGAGAGAACAATACCAAACTGAGTCTCATCAGGAGCAGCAGAAGTTCCATTAGCTTCAGAAGAGTGCATAACAGAAGGAAATAATTCTAAAGCTACATAACAAACAAAAATAAAACCAAAGAATATACTATTGGTTAGAGATACTGTTTTTCATATCTGGGCAAGACTACCCATTCTCTGGAATTCTGGTAAGAAGTCACAGTATGAACCAAAAGCCAAGCCTACTAAAGAGCAACTGTACTTCACTGCTGAATACAAGTATTGCTGCACTGCCAGTCTTCCTTGGTGGTGGCTGAAGTCCTTGTAAGACAGTGTCTAAAGGAAAAAAAAACCCATCATATTTACCACAGCATTTTGATAATAAAAAGGCAGAGCTGTAATGGGACAACAGGCCAAGCTGTTTTCCAGAACACTAGAGAGGGTGAAACTTTACTGATTATGAGCATTTTTCTAAACTAGTAAAGTAGCACTTTATTTTAAACATAACATTTACTAAACCTTTTCAGACAGTTCATTCAGTGGATTATTAGTAGAAATGACTTGGCCACAGAGCGGGTTTCTTGGGGGGAGTGGGGAAATTATCTTCATTTTGGTAACTCTGAAAGACTTCACTAATCCTATAACCTTATTTTTACTCAACACATTTTTTGTTAATCTTCCCTCAGTGACTACAAAGCTACTGACAAGCAACCGCTTATCACTAAAACACTCCAGGATTAAATATTTTATGTACAGATTGCATGGATGAGCATTCTCATAGTGTAAGCACCCATACAAAGGTTTTTTTCTTCTATCCTTGTACATCTCAGCTGATATTTGGCAGTCCTGTCCATGCTTTGTTACCTTGATCAATTAAAAATCCAGTAAATTAAACAAAATACAAACGTCTTGGATCCACACTTCAGTAACAATCCACTGAGGCCACGAGGCTCAGATTTTTGCTAACATTTCTCTTGATGTATCAAGGCAGCAGGATTACACTGCACTAGTGAGCGTGTGAAAAAACTTACAGTAAACACTTGACCCGTAGGAGGATCTTGATTTTATCCTGCACAACCATCAGAAGAACACAGAACCCAAAGTGATCAGAAATTAAGGATCTTCTACATCTGCAGTGATTATATATCAAGAATAAGTAGTGCCATTCTGATTAGGAAGTGGCAACTGGACTATCATTGATTTTAAGAACTAGGTGATTAAAAGCCAGGTGGAAATATCTTTGCCAGCCACAGCTTCCAGAACACTCTGCAGACACTCAAGCAGCTTTTCTAGTCTCTTTTGCTCCATGAAAGGTTCAGAAGACTAACTATACAATACAGAGTACCTGGAAGCACAATGTCTGAAAGAACATCCTTAACTGAGGGAGCAAACCCCCCTCAGCTGTCAAGCCACATCACTCCAATCATTTTGACCACAACAAATCCAGACAAGAAATCCCTGTTGATTGCTCAACTGATTCAAAACAACTTGAGGTACACAAACAATATCTGTATGTAAGAGTTCTTTTGCTTTTCTCAATCACTGAATTGCTTAAGGTATCAATCAGTAAGAATGATATGCTTTGTACTGTAAAAACCAACATATAAGTGAAGAAGCAAGTCACAGACATACAGAGAAATTCTGACTGTATAAACAAGAGTTATACAAGCAAGATGAAGCCACAAGGAAAGGCATTTAGGAAAAAAAACTATCCAAAAGGTTATGACCAGAATAAAGAGTATAAATTCACTTGAGAAAGAACATTAGTGTTGGAAGAGGCATCACTTTGCAGGTGTCCTTTCTGAGTCCATTTTCCAAGGTGTATTAAATGCCATGCATCTCCATCTCCAGACACTCAAGGGCTCTGGTGTATGTCCTGAATCCTCCGTCTTCAACCCCAGCATCTCACCTTCTGTCTGTCTCTGCAACTACAACTTCAGACACCAGCTGTTATTCTTACTTCCTTTTCTGGTACCTCATCATCATGATTACTGTCTTTTGCTGCTTCAAAATAACACGTGACCAGACAGAGAAGCATCTCAGTACACATAATTTTCGTCCTAATTGAGTGCACTGGAGTCAATCTTGACAGCATCTGAAGGAGAACTGGAAGAAAAGGGATTACATTATGATCTGAGTGGTACAAGAGCTGCTTTTTGCAAATGCAGCTATTCGACGCAAATACTGTTCTATTGTTAAGGTTCATGTCTAATAAAATAGAAAGCATGATCTCCTAAGAATCTGTTGATGTAGGAAGAGATTTATTCTTACTACATATTCTTGGTTTTGTTGCTTGATTAAAAACAATAGAATCAAAATAACTGATTGGAAAAAAGAAAGCTATTGCAATGATTTAACAATACCAATTTTTAAAGAAACTGATTCCGAGGCTGTAGTTTGAGCTCTGCATTACAAGTCAATCCACAGTTACAAAAGGGCAATGGCATTTTAATGATTCAGTCCACAGGTGGCAGCTTTCCCTAATAGCTGTGAACACTCCATCCTGATATATATACATTAACAATGTTAAATTAAACACCACTTTTTAGAGATATTAATTCAACACAGGTCTTCTCAAACTATTAAAGTCTCATTTCCAACTCTGCATAAATCATCACAATCCTGTTTGTACATCTACCTGGTTTCAAGGTGGCGTTTAGAAAACAGCTTGCTGTCACTAGCTGAGAACAACTGTCAGCATCTGGTCAGTTAACAGGGGAAACAAAGGAAAGGTTCTCCACTAGTAATGACAGGATGTACATGAGCTTCAGATAATCTGACTCCTACTGAGATAGCATGCTCTGGCAATTCAAAGCCACATAGCACTTGTTTCCTCATAGGACAGTTCTGCCATTTGAGCTCACTGGCCTATCCTGACACATTTCTCTCCTTCACTAGTCCCACTTGCTGGCCTCCAGGTACATCTCAGATCTTTAGCTAAGAGAGCAGTGGGTCAGCGTCTCAAACACACTGGCTGCAAACTGCAGTATTGCACCTGTCTTGTGAACACTAACAGATGATTGTCAAAGCCAGTATGCTGCTACGTTCATCATTTTATCTGCCACCTATGACAGATTCATTACTTTACAGGGCCTTTATCAGGGCTAAACACCCTAACCAACACTACTTGCACCTAATATGTTAGTAAAACACCCAATTTAGTTTCTCCGTTAATGAAGAAGCCAGTAACAATTAAATATTTTAATCTGCCATTTAGTTTTCCTGTAACTCAAGTATTTGGCTGTTAAGTAAAGCAAGTGAAAATACAGACAGATTCTTCATTTCTACCTTTACAAGGACAGCAACAGTAACCGGCAGAAGACAGTGCTTCTGGAGCACAGGGGGCAATAGCCTCAGAGAAGAAACAGGCGGCAATCTCATGAACTGAGGTTAACGGAGTTAACACCTGCTAGACAGTTGCAACTTTTGAGCATAAAGCCTTCAGAACTAACTCCACCTCATTCCTGCCACCTGTCTACAGTAAGAAATAAGAGCACAGCACAACAAAACCAAGACAATTATACCTTGCAGGGCCAGTTTGTCATCCTGAGTAGCTTGTCATCATTAGACTTCTCTATTGACTTCTCCAAAATTCCTTTTCCCTTCAAGGAATTTATCCAACTCCTTCAGCAAGCATCTTTAATGCATGGTGACTCCACAAAGTTTGTCCATCGGGAAGAAATGTTGCGGTTCAGATGTAGCAAGTAATTCCAAAGCCTGAGCTAATATTTGCCTCACTCTACGTCCTCTAGTAGTTAGCACTGAACCTCATTTCAAATCTGACAAACCCCTGCTACACCACAGAATAAACCATCCTCCAAAGGAATAAGCTCTGGCTGGCTGAGACCTTGGGTAGCTCCAGTTTCCAAGCAGGCTCCAATTGGATGGCTATCCAAGTGATTACAAGCACAAGAAGCAGTGAGTTGTACGGTTAGTGCAGAAGTACAGTTTCAAAGAAGTGACTACTGATCGGGGTAAGACATTAACAGTACATGCTATGGGCAGAAAAAGTAAGAAGAACTGAATGAAACCGCAGAGTGCTGGAGACCTCATAGAGCATGCCCAGAAAAGCAAGGCAATACACTGCATGAGGAAATTAGGAAGAAATACTGAATGAGTACAACTTCAACATTTGAGACTTCCAACTCATACTGAAGGACACAATAGTTCAAACAGCCCTAGGAACAAGTCTTCTATGCAAAAGTTGCAGTTAATCGCTGTAACTGGACAAACTCATAAAGCATCACTCTGTAGTCACTAAAAAGTGTCCAGTTCTGCAATCTGAAGGCAGCTCAAGCAATGGTGTTAAGACACCTCTCGTTTTTTAAGCCTTCCACTTTCTGACTCTAGCTGCAGAATTTGAAGAGAAGCCCTCACCATTTTTTCTCTCTTCAAAATAAACTATTTCCACAGCACGGGTGCAAGCTTCACCATCCTGAGGGAGCAAGACTTGCTAGTTTGTCCTAATGAGGCCTTCTCAGCAAAAACGTATTTAAACTAAGAGAAGCTTGACTAAAAGTCATTAAGCCCGAACACTAATTAACCAAAATTCTCTCAGCAGTTCATCATAACAATTCCCCCCACCCCCAACCGTGTCACTTCTAGGCGCTAAGGGAGCCCAGCAGAAACCCACAGCAGCACTACTTGCTTCCTTCTGAGCACATCAGGGCCAGGACCCGCGTGTCCATAAACCAACTTTTATTTGCACGATTCCGTTTACCGGAGCGTCGCCCAGCGCGGCTCCCGCGCGCTGCGCGGGGACGCCGGAGGCCTCCCCTCTGGGGCAC